CTAAACAGTTTTACAAAAACGCAACAAGTGATTCGCCATATGATGGCCTTTACAGTCAAGACACGCCCGAAGAAGCCATTGTATGACATCCCCCTCCACATTCCAGCCAGTTATATGACGACACTAGTTTGTTAGGCCACATCTTTTGTTCATGCCGGAACGTGTAGCCGCCGCTCGTCGGAAAAATGGTAGACGTTCTAATCGAGCAACGTGTCAACGTGAAATCTTCAGTGAAACTCGGTTTTAAGGCGGGTACGCATATGAGCGGCAGTCCGAGGCCGAACCATTTACCTCGGATTCGGTTCGGCCTCGGGAAGACATAATTTTTTGGGGACCTGAATAGTGGACGCACGAGGCGTGGTACGGAATCGATCCATAAATGTGGTGAGCATTTTCATGTGTGCCTGTAGTAGTGCATAAATATGGCCGATTCAGATTCTGATGACGCTGAACGTGCTGCGTATTTTATAATTTCAAGTAGTTTATTGAAAAAGAAACAGAAGAAAAAACCAAAACGATGGTCATCGCAATTATATCTGAACAGAAAAAGACAGCTAATAACTGAAAATAGCACCGGTTTATCAAAAGAGCTTTTGGCCGATAATAAAACGAGTGAGCTCTTTTAAAATTTGACCAGGATGTCTGAAGAAGATTTCTTTTTGTTGTTAAATTGTATAAAGCCAAGAATAGAGCGACAAGACACGTCGTACAGAAAGGCTGTTCCAGCATAAGAAGGGCTAGCACTGACTCTTGGGTTTCTTGCTACAGGAGATTCGTTTACAAGTTTGCAATATCTTTTCAAGGTATCCAAACAGTTAATTTCCGAAATAGTACCAGAAGTATGTCAAGCTATTATCGAGTGTTTGAGTGACTATGTTCAGGTAAGTCATAATAATAGAGACACTTAGTTAAAATAAACGTTTATTCTAAATGAATAGTATTTTGTCGACAATAATGTTAAAAAAAACATTTTGGGAAAGTGCCTAATCTAGTATGATTGTCGATAAAATATTGAAAACATAAGTAAAAATACAGGGTGTCCCTGGACTTCCTCTTTTCCTCTCGGGAATGTATAGATGGGGTCAAAATATCACCAGTACCTCATATAACTTTTTTTCCTAAAAGTCTTCGTAACCAAGTTACGGGCCCTCGAAGTTACAAAATGAAAAATGTTTTTCTTTGATAACTTTTCAAGTGAATATTCAAAATCATCCAAATTTTGGTAATTGACTA